AACATCAATGGCGAGTACATCACTCACCTTCGATTTGCCGACGATATAGTCCTTATGGCAGAATCGCTGGAGGACCTAAGCACTATGCTCAATGACCTCAATAGTGTTTCCCAACGGATAGGTCTTAAGGTGAACATGGACAAAACAAAGATCATGTTTAATGTCCATGTCACACCTATGCCGGTAGTTGTTGGGAACACTAAGCTCGAAGTTGTTGACGAGTATGTTTACCTGGGACAAATAGTCCGACTAGGTAAGTCCAACTTCGACCGAGAGGTCAATCGACGGATTCAACTCGGTTGGGCAGCGTTCGGGAAATTACGGCACATCTTCTCGTCAGGTATACATCAAAACTTGAAAACGAGACTGTACACCCAGTGCGTGTTGCCAGTGATGACATACGGAACTGAGACGTGGTCCTTCACTGCTGGCCGGATGAGGAAGCTCAAGGTCGCTCAGCGAGCTATGGAGAGGGCTATGCTCGGAGTTTCTCTGCGTGATAAACTCAGAAATGAGGATATCCGCAGTAGAACCAGAGTGACCGACATAGCCCAACGGATTAGTAAGCTGAAGTGGCAATGGGCCGGCCATATAGCTCGAAGAACCGACAACCGATGGGGAAGAAAGGTTCTCGAGTGGCAGCCTCGTACCGGCAGGCGAAGTGTAGGGCGTCCCCCCACTAGATGGAGTGACGACCTGGTAAGATTTGCAGGAAGTCGATGGATGCAGGTGGCTCAGGACCGTGCTTTGTGGCATTCTTTGGGGGAGGCCTATGTTCAGCAGTGGACTTGTGAAGGGCTGTAATGATGATGATAATGATGATTTAAATAAATAGTATTGTAACTATGTAATAACTCTCCCAATATAGGCACCGAACGAATAGCGAGAGTCAACATAGATTTAGAATGTAGTAATTAATTAATGTAAAATTGTAAAGTAATTATTGTATGTAAATTGTATTCCTTTATATAGTACAAATTAATTTCTTGTATATTAAGCCTTTAGGCACGTAAAATAATAAACAGGGCATGTTATCGTGACGCAGCCGCGGAGCAAATGAGGCTATGCGCACCGCGCCACGACATTTTATATTTATAGTACTGAGGCGGGGGGCAGGGTCCTCAGCCCAAAATTGTTGAAAAACAAAGTTTAAACCTTATAGTATGTAGAAAAATTGTTATGTACGTATTAGTTTAATAAGTAGTTGTAAGAATGTTATATATTTAATTCTGTTCGTTAGTTTGTAAGAAATATAACTAATAAAAATAATAAGAAAGGCGCGGGGGTGAGGCAAGAGTCCGCTGGCCAGCAACAGCCAAATCGTATATAAGACGGGCCGGCCGGAACGGTCGGCAGTCGCTCTCCAGCCACCGAAAGAAGACAACAGCAAGAAAAAGTACAAGTTCCTCCTCACCGCCGCTTGCCTCCAGTTTAAGCAAGACCAGCGTGTTTTTATTCATTTTTCGAACGGCGTTACGGCGATCCGTAACAATAACTATACGTATGGGGATGGTATCCACAATCCAAAATCAATTTATATGTACGGATGATTATGTAGGCTATTAATGAAAATCTATTCTTAAGCAGAAAACTCCGAAAGCTAATACCCTGTACGTTTCATTGCAGAATACCAGGCGTCCTCTTAGTTTCATTAACCCCTGATTAAAATGAGAGTTGTTATATGTTTAACATATGTATCTGTGTATCTGTACGAGGGTAGTGTACAAAAAAGAATATTAATGACTTAAAAAAATAAAACTTTAATGTAATGGACTTCCGCAAAGTAACGCCGTATTCTATTAATTATCTTAAAAAAATATACTTCATAGATTGCGTACTTTTCTAATACGGTATATTTTTCAAACACCTAACGCCATCTCTTCTACCCGGGGTACAAATTGGAGCATTCCTTTGTGCCTCGGGCTGGAGTTTGCGTGTATGTCAGAGAGGACATCTGTTCTCGACGCCTCGGCAGTCTTGAAGGTTCGGACCTGTCCATCCTTTGGCTACGCGTAGACAGCGACGACCATCCGCGCGTCTACGGGTGCCTCTATAGGTCCCATAGCGGTAATGCCGAAACAGACCGACTCATCGACCACGTCCAAATGGCTACAGATTCCTTGCTACAACAGGTCCCATCCGCAGAGATCGTGATCCTTGGCGATTTTAACGCCCACCATGCCGAATGGCTCGGTTCACGTCTAACCGATCATGCGGGGAGATCTGTTTATGACTTTGCCTTGGCATATGGTCTGACACAACTGGTTACTTCGCCTACGCGGATTCCAGATGTCGAGGATCATACACCTTCCCTGTTGGACCTTCTGCTGACCTCTCATCCGGACGGATATCAGGTTTCCGTCGATGCCCCTCTCGGCTCTTCGGACCATTATCTGATCCGGAGTGTGGTGCCACTCACGCTCCCTTCGCGGTTGCGTTCTGCAGGTTGCCGCCGTGTTTGGCATTACAGGTCGGCGGATTGGGACGGAATGCGGTCTTTCTTTGCATCCTACCCATGGGGGCGGGTTTGCTTCTCGCCGGACGATCCCAGCGCTGTTGCTGACTCTGTCACTGATGTGGTGCTACAGGGAATGGAACTATTTATTCCATCATCTGTGGTACCCATCGGAGGCAGATCTCAGCCTTGGTTTGGTCGCTCCTGTAAGACTGCATTACGCAGTAAGCAGGAGTGTTATCAAGCCTGGGCTGCGGCTTCGGCGACTCGGGATGTAAACACCAGCACACTTAAAAAGAAGTATAACTTCGCCTCCAGGTCCTTCAAAAGAGTTATTGCCAAGGCAAAGTCAGAGCACATAGGCAGAATTGGCGAGAAACTAGTTCGGGAAACTAATTCTTTCGGGAACCCGTGCATTCTGGTCTCTCGCCAAGGCTGTCCAAGGGAATTTCTGTAAGCCATCACTACCATCTCTGCACAGGGAGGATGACTCACTGGCCCATGACGCAAAAGACAAAGCCGACCTTTTAGGCTCCCTTTTTGCGTCCAACTCGACTCTTGATGACGGGGGGAAAACACCGCCGACCATCCCGCGGTGTGAGTGCTCCATGCCGGATGTGCTGTTCTCACAGCGCTCGGTTCGCAAAGCACTGCTCTCCCTGGACATCCAGAAGTCGAGTGGGCCTGACGGAATCCCCCCAATTGTGCTGAGGACGTGTGCTCCGGAGTTGACACCTGTCCTAACGCGTCTTTTCCGGTACTCCTACTCCCAAGGCGTAGTCCCGAATTCATGGAAGACAGCTTTTGTCCACCCGATCCCTAAAAAAGGCGACCGCTCAGACCCATCCAACTATAGGCCTATCGCGATCACCTCCTTGTTCTCCAAAATAATGGAATCCATTATTAACTGCTAGCTCATCCGGTACCTTGAGGATCACCAGCTGATTAGTGACCGCCAATACGGTTTTCGTCGGGGTCGATCAGCTGGTGATCTTCTGGTCTACCTGACCCATAGATGGGCGGAGGCAGTAGAGTCCAAGGGGGAGGCATTAGCCGTTAGTTTGGACATAGCGAAGGCCTTCGATCGGGTTTGGCACAAAGCGCTTCTTTCGAAGCTCCCTTCCTATGGGCTTCCCGAGAAATTATGCAATTGGATCACCAGCTTTCTTGCAGATCGGAGCATCAAGGTCGTTGTAGACGGTGCATGCTCCGACTACAAGCCTATTAACGCTGGTGTTCCACAAGGCTGCGTGCTATCACCAACGCTGTTTCTTCTGCATATAAATGATATGTTACAAGCCGGTAGCATTCGTTGCTATGCGGATGACAGCACTGGAGATACTCTATACACCGGCCGTGCCAATATTTCTCGGGAAAACGTCACCGAGTACCGGAACAAACTTGTGTCTGAAGTCGAGTCTTTGCTGGACAAAGTCTCGGATTGGGGGCGACTAAATCTAGTCCAGTTTAATCCTCAGAAGACACAAGTTTGCGCGTTTACCGCTAAAAGGAACCCCTTTGTCGTATCTCCTCAGTTTCAAGGCACTCCCCTTCTTGCCTCAGCCAGTATCGGTATCCTCGGAGTCGACATATCGAGTGACATGCAGTTTCGTGGTCACTTGGAAGGGAAGGCCAAATTGGCCTCTAAAAAGCTTGGCGTGCTCAGCAGAGCGGGACAGTATTTCATGCCGGCACACCGCCTGCAACTTTACAAGGCGCAAGTTCGGCCTCACATGGAATACTGTTCCCATCTCTGGGCAGGGGCTCCCCAGTGCCAGCTCCTTCCACTTGACCGCATCCAACGCAGAGCTGCTCGAATCGTCGACGACCGAGCCCTTTCCGATCGGCTCGATTCATTGGCACTGCGAAGAGATGTTGCATCCCTTTGCATTTTCTTTCGCATCTACCATGGGGAGTGCTCTGAGGAATTGTTCGGATTAATCCCAGCCGCCAAATTTCACGAACGCACATCGCGGCAGAACTCCCGATACCATCCACACCATCTGGATGATTGGCGGTCCACCACTGTGCGATTTAGAAGATGTTTTCTTCCTCGCACGACTTCCTTGTGGAATCGATTACCATCAGCGATTTTTCCGGACCGATACGACTTAGGGACCTTCAAGAAAAGAGCGTACTCCTTTTTAAAAGGCCGGCAACGCATCTGCGATTCCCCTGGTGTTGCAGTTGTTCATGGGCGGCGGTAGTCACTTACCATCAGGTGAGCCGCATGCTCGTTTGCCCCCTCTCCTATAAAAAAAAAAATCTCTAGGTCAGGCCGGGTACTTATGGGACCACCCTCGTATGTCTGTCTGTGGCATCGTAGCTTCCCAACGGATGAACCGAACTGAAATGAACGATTTAGTTTTTTTTTGTTTCAAAAAGTTGACTAGCGGGAGTGTTCTTAGCTATGAGGAGATCATCAGTACTTTTTGTTTCTAGGGTTTTTAAAAAAACTAATTTAAGTTATTTCAATAGATTGTTTATCGATAAGTAATCACAGAAGCTGTGTGTGTATTATCCTCAATGTGTTTTATGCTTTCAGACAGTACGAGTTTCTAACGTGGAGGCTAACCATCATATGGATGATGGGCTTCATGGTGCGGTACTTCTTCCTTCTACCCTTAAGGCTATTGATCTTCCTCATTGGGGTAAGTGGACTCAGTACTTAACTAACAATTGTTGTGTAGAATGTCACAAGCCACGTTCTTTTCTGCCACCAGGGCGACGACACTTAGGGAGTGAAATATTTGACAGATTTCATAGCGGGGGAAGTTAATATGTTGGAGAAATGTAGATATTAACGTTTCTTTCTTAAATACTACATAATATATATTTTATATTCATTACATTAGAAATGGATAAACCATAATGCAGATATTTGAAAAAAATTAAAGAATACAACACTGAGGCATTGTTTTGTATTTATAAACAGAATAGATAATGTGAACATGCGCGTAACAAATAAGTTCACCTTAATCCCAAATAGCGATGTCTGATGTGCGTAAAATTCTAAGTTTACATAAGTATGTAGACTACTGAAAAAATCACACAAAAACAAACATACAGTCAAACAGGAGAAACATAGAAACTTCCTTTAAGTTTAAGTCCTTTAAAAAGGGATTATTTTCAAAACTTAAAGTGGCTGCTTTCAACCCTAAAGTAATTTTGTTATACAATTTGTAAAGAAAATCTCTGTCCTTTCTGAAAGAGGAACATACCGCAATTATATTATAAAAAGAAATTAAACTTATTAATGAAAAAAAACATATATATAAAAATGTTATGGTCATTTAAAATGTCATAATGTATTTTTACTACAATTAGCTTATAATTCAGCAAATTTAAAAATCTTGCAACACCGTCGGAGGTGACAGTGTCTCTGAACATGTGGTGGTATCCCGACGGCCGCCCGCGTCGCCCGTGTTACCGTGTTAGTTTTGCCATATAATTTATGCGGGGTAATTTTTTATTCATTCTATGAAAATTATTTCATGAACAGAATCCTATCACAATACCTAAAAGGAAAAGCATCCTCACGGATCTGACAGGATTTTTTTACATATTATATTAAATTGTGTTATTGTGTTGAGGCGGTATAGAAATATCTACTACCCCAAATAGTCCCGTGGGTGTCGTATGAAGCGACAAAGACAAGCGGATCCAGAAGATGGGCAGCAGCAACTTTCTGATAAGAGCTGAATAAAAAACGAAAAACCTGCAGTTACCAATCCCCTTGACAAGTGTGGCAACTATGGCAAATATCCCCCTTATGAGGCTATTTATGGGAGGCCCATGTTAAGCAGTGGAATTTTGATAGGCTTCAAGGTTTTCTCCCGGAGTAGTAATGGATTCGTACCGATAGTTGTCTAAGGAGTGTACTGTGGGGGATGGCAAGAATCGGCGGCTCTGGCTCGCATTTGCCATATGTATAATGTGCCAATTACAGTGGCAAAGGCTTTTGTCCAGTTATGGACTGTTTTTAGATTTTTTTTTTACTGACAAACGAACTTACAGACCACTCTATGGTAAGTGGCTACTGCAACCCATAGACATCTGCAACCAACTACAAAAGAATGCCGCAGATGCATTGTCACTTCCGAGGACTAATATGGAATGCCTTACAGTCTGTAATTATACTGGCTCCTCTATAACCTTTAGACCAGAACGCGGAAGTACAAGGCCTGGTTTTTTGCGGCAGAAATAGGTAAACCTACTCAGAGAGACACTGAATATAGAAAAGTGTTGTACCACCTAATTATTGTAGCATTTCTCATACATATTATTATTTTTGAATTTAAAATAATACATTCAGATAAATACGTTAGTAAAATGTTACTATATTTTAACAAATCCTACTAAAAATTACCGTTATTACTGGCAACACCAGGTGCTGACACTGTTAACATCAATGCTAGCAGTGAGCATGATCCCATCAACAAAATGGCGCCGATATTTCGGCGCGATCGCATACAAGTTGTCTATGAGAATATTACTAAGATGCTTGTCTTGTGTGGTGACGTTCCACGACACTCAGTACATGCCGAAGACCACCGGATTCTGTGTTGCCAACCATACGAGTCCAATTGACGTCATACTGCTCAGTGTCAACAGTTTCTTCTCTTTGGTAGTTTTTTTATACTATCTTTGTTTATACCGGGATCTGTACTCGCACGAGCTCGTTTTTTTGGGCTGGCATTTGTGTATGTTTATATTGGGCAATATTTTCTTGGTTGTTTTATTGTTTTCTTTTATCATTTGGTACATTGAAAATATATTATATATATTATTCCATTTATGAACTTAGCTACATTCAAAATGACCAATTAGATATTGTAGCCATCTTAATGTTTTGGGTGGTGGTGGGATGGGTGAGGTTCTTCTCAAGGTATTTTACATAACCTTGAATGGAGCTACCCCTGCCAAATCTAACGTGTCCAGTCTTGCACCAGCATGCGGCACAACACTACCCATCCCCCCCTCCCATACGCACCTCACGAACAAGGGAGCAACCCTCATAATATCACCCCTCTTTTCATCGCTTAGGTTTGGTGTCTTATTGTAAGCACGGCCTGCGTTGGGACTCTACCTGACGGTCCGTTCAAGCAACGAGTCAATTATGCGACTTCGATCTTGAGCTTCAACTTCCTCTCGAGGTGTATATCGATGGTAATCACCTACCATGATGGTGACGTGAACAAGCCGAAGAACGGGATATGCGTGGCGAACCACACCAGCCCCATCGACGTGCTGGTGCTGATGTGCGATAACTGTTACTCGTTGGTGAGTTACAGTGATGATGGTGAATGTTCAGGGTCGAAAGAAGCATGCTGCGTAAAATAGCTTAGATTTATTTTCTCTACACATAATTGTGATGTTGAAAATTAATTTAGTTTAAGACTATATAATCCACTTTCTTTTTAAATACCGCACCTCCCACACTGGGATTTTCTCCTGTATTATGCAAGCAATATACATATATTTCACATGGACCAACATCTAGACCCGGAACAATTATAGTCTGTTCGCTTAGATACGGTCGCCTTTGTGTCGCGCCTCCTTGGCTCTTGCCGCATTTTTTCATAGGCCCCGCGGCGACATCAAAGGTCGCCCCTTGCAGCGTACCGTAAACCCGAAGGACAATTTGGCAAGTAGTGAAAGGTTCTTTGCTACTTAACTTGTTTTATTATTTATATTCGTATTTTATTACAAGAACCATAAGAATTAAATAGTGTTCAATTTTATTTTTAGAATAGAAAACATTTATTTAACAAACACAGTAAAAAAATAATAAAATAAAAGCAAAATTATAAGTGCGCCTCCGGGTGTACCGACACTATCTAAGCGGATAGACTATATTTGTAGGCCATATAAACAGTAAGGTGATGTGGCAATGGGCCATCCATATTAGCTAAACCAACCGACAACCGATGGAGAGCCGTGTAGTGGCGGTGTAAAGGAATCCACTATCCCATATCTTCCCGTGGGTGCCGTAAGAGGAGACAGAGGAGAATAAAACAGGAGATGGGTCTCTATCAGCGTCTCCCTGATAACAACACAAAAAGAGAGTAATAGTCACTATAGGTGATACCAGAAATATGTTACAGCTTCCGTTAGATGGCGGATAAAAGTGCAAGAGGTTTGCTACTGCAACATGTTGGATAACCTCCTTCCTCGCGATGTCTTCCTTCACCACCAAGACCGAAAAGCAGCATTTAAAATAACAATTAACAATTTCCTTGGTGTTCATGACTCCTTTATTTATAAGTAGTAGATATTACTCACAGCTTATAAAAAGTCCCAGGTTCGATCCCCGCAGGCACCAATGAAATCGTTAATTGCAATTTTAAGTGCTGATTTACCACGTGCTCGGCGGTGAAGGAAAACATCGTAAGGAAACATGCATGTATGAGAAATAAGAAATAAAATATATTTCGAAGACATGTGAAGTTCGCCAAAACCCTCTCAGAGTTGAGAGGAGGCCTCTGTCCAGCAGTGGGACGTCGCAGTGGCATAGCAATGAGTCGCGGGTTCGAATCACGCACAGAACAAGTATTTGTACAAATAATTGTTCCGCGTCCGGATGTTTGTCCTTGTGAAATTTATGTATGTAAACTGCCCCCGCGATACACGAGAAAATCCTAAGTGTGTGGAGGTGACGTTTTTTAGATAATAATAATAATAAGATAATATTAGCTATTTTAACGACGACTTGACTTTGTATAGTATATGTCCTTTATGACCCGCTGTTGTTAGGTGTATCTCGTAAATTACTTATTTTTACTTACATACTATGCCATCACATAATATATATTAATTTCGAATGTAATAATTAAGTGTATGTTAATGTGTCTATGGTTTTGTATTTATCTATGTTTGCAACACATATCATCTTTTTCTATTTGCTAGCATGATTGTGTCACGTGGCAAAGAAATGGATAGGTATAAGTATATATTGTACATAGAATTAAACTTTCAAATACGTAGGTTATCAATTATCTGGGATATAGAACGTGGTAGCTCGGACGGTAAGCACTCGCAGTAAATTTCATAGTACAAGAGGAATCCAGGTTCGAACCTGGATTCACCCTGTCGGCAGCAATAACTTTGATAATTGCAACTTGAATTGCGTAGCAGACCGTGCAGTGGCGGTTTAAGAATATCCACTACCCTCAGGGATTCCCAAACTATTTTTGGCAAGGGACCCCTTTTCCAAAATGAACTGATATCTCAGACCCCCATAGCCTTACTGACTTGCCGAGTTTTTCATCTTGTACGAACTTGTGCACGCTTATTAACTTACTGAGTTTTTAAGCCGTCTATACATGTTGGCCGAGCAAAGGCGAGTACCAACGTATAGACAGCCCAGCCCATCTCCATTTGTCTAGCCTCGCCATTGCTTGTCGTCGCTCGCCCAGCTGGCCGAGCCAGCATGTATACGGTTCGTTTGGGGTACATTGCCATCACTCGGGATCGCTCGCCACGACTCGTCTCACTTCGGAACAGTGTCGGCTTTGCTGCACAAATCGGAGACGCTCGCCTGCACTCGGCAAGTTTTGTCCACATGTTAGTTGGCCATGTCAATATGTTCACTCATTGGAACTTGGCCAACATGTAGACTGTAGCAGTCGCTTTTATCAATTTGCCTGCGTTCGCGTTGGCCGAGGCTTGGCCAACATGTATTGCCAGCTTAAAAAGTACAACAGTGATATTCCCTACTAAAATATTAGTCATTCTTAAAACAAGTTGGTACAAGTAACACAACTTATACAGTATCTTGAAAGTTTCATATAAGAACTTGTGTTAATTAGGGGTCGATTTTAGACCTTGTCGACCCCCAAAATCAGTTTTCGTTTATGTCCCCTGGGAAACCGATTTCGACTCCGAGGGTTCGATATCGACTACTTTGGGTATCCTTGCACTACCCCATACCGTTCCGTGGATGTCGTAAGATCCGGCAGAGGGAACCAAAAACAAATCGGGAGAGTATCTAAATAATACTTCAGCAATGGACCTTCATAGGCTGGAACTGTAACGGTTATTTTAAGTGCTAATTTACTACTAGCTCAGCGGTGAAGGAAACATGCCGAAACATTCAAACGCTACTCAATAGACGTGTGTCATTCATTCATATCTAATGATCGGATCATTCAAGTATTGATTCGTTTTACAAACCAGGTCATTCAGGTCGATCATACAAATGGATCATTTCGAACTTAAGTACTCTGTGATCTGTGAGACTCACTCGATAATGTCGGTCGTCGGACATTACTATAATCTGGTCGTAGATTCTGACAATCGTTTGACCTTGAACGTTCAAAAAATGTTATCGCGATCATCAATACTTTGATGCGACCCGGGTCACTCGGACGCCGTCACATTGACTTAAGTGATAGAGACAGCATTATACTTAACGGCGTCTTAAAATTGAGTAGCTGTTGAGTGTTTGGACAATAGTGGGGAAACCTGTATGTCTGAGAAATTAAAAAGAAATATTTCCAAGACATATGGAGTACGCTAAAAACACGCATTGGGACCGCGCGGTGGTTACTTCCTTGGACTGAAACCCTCTCAGAAATGAGAGCAGGGCTTGTGGTCCAGTAATAGGATGTATATAAAGGCTGTAACTTGTTTTGATTTTTACTTTAACGGCTGTTCGTAAAGTACTTTAAAATATCAAAATTTATAGTTCATTAAAATAATATTAAATTTTCATTTTCTTTTTAAAGTTACTTAAACACTAGAAATTTCTTAGGAATAGTGCAATTTATTTCACAACCACATACATAAATTGCATATGGACAAACATCCAGTACCGTAAGTAATTTTTTGTAGGCTTTACAAATACCGCCCGCAACTCTTATCTAAGCTACTGTGCTACCGAATATATTTAACAATCATACATGTTTCAGATTGGTCAAAGGCACGACGGTTTCCTTGGGCTTTTGCAGAGGGCATTAGCTAGGGCTTCGCCGCACATTTGGTTCGAGAGGTCGGAAGTCAAAGATCGACACGCGGTCGCCAGAAGGTATGCAGTTTGTTTGTCTCAACATTTTATTTTTACGTAGTATAGGAATGTTGCAGCTGTATTCCCGGCTTGACCGGGACCATATTTGCACAAAATTTCAACTTTATTAAGCAGCACAGTACTTCTGAGTTTTGTATGGTAAGTGGCGAGAATCGAACACGACTGAACACAACCAAACACAAAAAATATATTTATGCCTATTTTTTTTTCTTTCTTATATGCAACTTTTTATAATATACAGGTTAGGATTTAAACAAAAAACGTAGTTGTCAAGATTTTCTAAAACATTACTAATATTTTAACTTTATAATCAATTTAGATAAAATCAAGTTTGTTTGCAAAGTTAATGTCCGTGGCTTACTCGAATACTTTATAACTTATTTCATATTTATATACGAAATTTTAATGTTATAACATCAATCCGGCTTTGAGGACCAATTATATAATTTTAGAAATTAAATATATTTTTCAATTTCCAGACTAAAAGAACACATATCGGTGCCGGACAACCCCCCAATCCTCATATTCCCTGAAGGCACCTGCATAAACAACACCTCAGTTATGCAATTCAAGAAGGGAAGCTTCGAAGTCGGTGGCACCATTTACCCAGTCGCAATTAAGTAAGTGATATATGAGATAACTAGCTTTTGCCCGCGTCTTCATCCGCGTAGATATTATACTTTAAATTTTAAACCATAGATGACTTTCATAGTAAATTCCATCACCCTCTTCAGCCACTCAAACGTCCGGGCGAACATAGTCGCCTAATACTTTTTCCGGTTGAACATTAAGGCGACTAGAGCGGCCTCGCTGACTTCTACATTTCAAACAACTTTTTATGTATGGAAAGTTACAAAAATCTTCATGAATGTCAAGACTAGACGGCTGTACATTATAAAAACGCGTCTATGGGTTAGTAAAAAGTCTATGCCAGGTAACAGATACCATTGAAAAAAAAAAAACAGGGGTTGTGTCAGGCCTCTGTCACTCTTGCTACCTGCGTGAAATAATTACCTACAATCGCGAGCTGCCCCAGGGGTAGATAGCAGTTGGGGCTAGCGCACTCTAGGCGATTGAATGTTACAGTTTTGTAAATACTTATTGAAATACTCGTCGAAATAGTTTTTGTTTAGTGCTTAGTATATTTAATTGTAGGATAAAATAGTTAAAAAGTTTTAATGTCGTTCAGATATATAATTTTTTGAGTTACCGAAGTATAATGAAAGGTAAATTTATTTCATTTTTTTTTTGTTAGATAGATACTTATAGCGAAAAAATAATTAAGTAATAATTTAACTACAGAAGTAATACCTAAGTACTTTATTACAAAAATTAGTTGAAATTTAGTTCACTACCTAAGTACTTACTATATTATATATACTTATACTTGTCTTTTGTAATTAAAATTTAAAATGTTTTAGTTATAATAGCACAAAATACTGAAATTAAAACTATTAGGGACAGAAGTGACTTCTGGCTTCTTATCCGGCGGCGAAAGACCAAGAATATTAGGGACAGAAGTGGACTGTATGAATTTACTATGCAAGTGGACTGTATTGATTAACTAACTGACTGATGTTGAGGTATACTACACTAGGGACTGCTTAAAAGAAAGATGATACTGTAGACTATAATGTATTCAACTATTTACAAATGCGGCTTTCACTAATTAACTATATACACAGAGGGGAGTCTTCAATGGAGTATAATTCTTCTCTCTTGATTTCTTCTCTTGCTGTTGTCTTCGAATGCCGCTTCCGAAATGAACAGCTCACAGACCAAAACGCCCTTCTTATATCCCGCAAGAGAGCGTCTCGGTTCGTGAGTAGCGTCGTAAGGCGATGCCGCGCGCTGATTGGTCGGCGACATCGCGTGATCTGCTGCCGGTGTGCGGGGTGCGCCGGGCGCACCGGGGTGTGAAGGGGCGACGGGGCGGCGGCCTCCTTCGCCGTCCGTAACATCCTCCCCCCGGCGTAGCTTGCGAGCCTAAGCTTCCCTCGGGAGGACGGCTATCTTCCTGACGGGTCGCCGCAGCACTCCGCCCTTGGTCCTGACCTCGACGTTGCGCACCACGCCGTCCGGTCCAGGAAATGTCTTCGTCACGATACCCCGCGGCTATACGTTCCTTGGTAGGTTGCCATCCGCAACCACGACGAGGTCCTCTTCTTGAATTTGGCGCTGCTGAGCATTTCGGGAGTCCCCGAGCGCAACCAGCGTCGGCAGGTACTCTTTCACCCAGCGCCTCCAGTACTCGTCGGCGAGCCCCTGCGCCGCTCTCCACGACCGACGATCCATGGGTGTGCACGGCGCGGTGACTGGTAGGCCCGATGGTCCCAACAGTATGAAGTGGTTGGGTGTCAGCGCCTCTTCGTCGTTGATGTCGACCGGTACGTACGTCAACGGTCGAGAATTTACCGTGTTCTCTGCTTCTGTCAGGAGCGTTGCCAACGTCTCCTCCCGTGGGCTTTTCTGATGTAGAGTGGCTTCGAGTGCGGTCTTCACTGAGCGTACGAGACGCTCCCATGCGCCTTCCTGGTTAGGCGCGCCCGGTGCAATGAATTTCCATTCGATTCGCCGAGTCAGCGCGTAGTCCTTCAGCTGCGGTGCCCACTCTTCCATCGCCCGTTGCAGTTCTGTATTTGCTCCATGAAAATTTGTGCCATTATAGGAGTATATAACCCGTGGCCACCCACGCCTAGCCGCCATGCGCCGCAATGCCGATATCGCCGAGTCCGTTGTCAGGGAGTAAACTAGTTCTAAATGAACCGCGCGCGTTGTTAAGCACGTGAATAGTGCTACCCACCGTTTTTCGTGCCGTCGTCCTATCGTAACTATCAGAGGCCCGAAATAGTCGACTCCGGTGTATGTAAACGGTCGCGCAAACGCCCCTAACCGTTCGAGTGATAGGTCTCTTGTAACCGCAGGCCGTGATGTCGCCTTGCGTACCCTGCATCGCAGACATCTCCGCTCCTCTTCTCGTACGGTAAGTCGTAATCGGAGGATATGAAATCTGATGCGTAGGTCGTTGACCACCGTCTCTCTGTTGGCGTGGCTTGCTTCCTGATGCGCCTTCTCTACAAGCAGCTTCACCAATTGGTGACGTCCATTCAGTATGATGGGTCTCTTCATCTGGCCGTCCACGTCGGCTGCGTCGATTCTTCCCCTGGCTCATAGCATTCCATCTTCTAATATGAGGTCGAGCTTCCTCAGTGCGCTGCCGGTGGCCAGGTTCTTTCCCCGCTGAAGATGGCTGATGTCTTGAGCGAAGCTTTCGAGTTAGCTGCATTCTATCCACATCCGCTCTGCCCTCTGGATGTGCTGCAATGTCGGTCCTTGTGCCCTTCCTCGTATGACATCGACGAACTGCAATACTCGTGCTGTGGCCCTGATCAGTCTCTCGTAGGAATAGAATCGTTCTATGTCTGGTAGGTGTGGAGCGTCCTTGGTGTCGCTCTGGTACGCCACGATTTCCTCCAACTCTTCATCATCCCCTTCCTTCTCTTCCTGCCTGTGAGGCCATCTGTCTTCGTCCTCGTAAAGAAATGACGGTCCTGTGAACTATTGGTCGCTTTCTTCTTTGGCCACGAAGTTCATGAGCGTTGCCTGATCTGCTGTGTTCGCCGCAATCGGTATCCACCTCCATTGCTCTGGTGATGTCTTTTCAGCTATCTCTCCTAACCGATGAGCCACATATGAAGTGTAACGCGCCATATCGTTTTGTATCCAGTGGAGTGCCGTAGTGGAGTCTGTCCAATATACGACCCTATCTGCTACCACTCTGGGTTCACCCTGTACGAATTCCGCGAGTCGCGCCCCTATCAAATTCGCCTGCAACTCTAGTTGCGGTATACTCTGCGCCTTAATCGGAGCGACTTTCGCCTTGGCCGTTATGAACGTAGGCCTGTCCATACCGTCGCGATGCGTATACACCTTATCGTCGCGCGGTTGGTTCCCTATTACTCCCCCCGCGGGAGCGTAGCGTCTCGGCAGTCGTGAAACCTTCCTAACCGGACTGGCGAGCGCCTGGATGTCGTCATCTGACCGTCCACTAGTGCTTGCTACGTGTAATACGGTCTCGCCGTCTTCCCTACACGTTAACCGCGGCACGGTCCTTTGAATTGCCCACCCTAATAGCGTTCTTGCCGCTGTAGGCTGCTTCCGGCGTCCTATTCTTATATTGCGGGTGACTATTAAGTGCCAGTTGTCGGCGCCTAATAATATTCTCGGCTTCGTGTCGTTGTAACATACCGAACTTGGTAAGTAGCGTAAGTGCTTCAATCGTAAGCACTCCCTACTCACAGACTGCGAGCCTATCTTTAAATCCGCTATTGTTCGCGCGCTTACATTATAAATCGCACTGCGCGTCTTGCCACGTATCCCTATATTTACTAACCTACTATTGGCCTCGCGTTGACTATTATTTTTTGCGGCTCTAATATTGAGCGGCTTTATCGGTCCTTCCGCTCCTAACTCGCGAGCTAAGTCGTCGTCGATTAACGATATGGTAGAGCCTTCATCAAGTAGCGCATACGTATCAACTTCCTTGCCACGCGGTCCGCGCACGGTAATGGGGCACACTTTTAATAACACAGACGCACTACTGTTAACACTAGACGCGACGAGCACGGTTTCATCCGGTTTAACCGACGCTTCAGGCGTGCGCGCCTTGCGGGTGTGAAGGAGAGCGTGGTGGGGGGCGTTGCAGCCGTCGACGCCGCACTTCCTAGCTTTGCAACGTATGCGTCGGTGTTTGCTGCTTAAGCACTTAAAACACACCCCATCTTCCCTTACCCACTTCCACCGGTCGTCCAAACCCATTTGCTCTAGCTTCCTACATTTGGCGATTGGGTGTTCACCCCCACAACACATACACGAGGCACTACCGGTGTCCTCCTGGGCGGTGAACGTCTTTACGTCGCGGGCCCTATCCTCTACGCGGCGTGTCAACACTATCCTTTTCGACGGCGGTGCTTCTTGTCTTACGGGCGATTCCTTAGTCGGCGGTACGGACGTATAGGCGTGACTTAACGCACGGTCAGCCTCTCTCATCATAAACCGGGATAGTGTGACAATGTCCGGTTCGTCCGCACTTCCGTAGTGCTCCGCATAATCGCACCAACGCGACCGTAAGTGAGGGCTAAGCTTACTCGTAACCTCCCGTAAACTCGTAATTTTCCGTAGTTAGCATCGGATTTTGTAAATATCTTTTGCCGTCGACGTTCTGCATAATACATACTATATTTTGCAACTTAATAGCGAACGAATTTAACTCCTGGGCGGTTTGACCCGGACGCAGAAGGCGTTTCAAGTCATCTAACGCACGATCAATAATTACTTCCGGGCGGCCGAAACACTGCTCCAGTGTCCGCATAATGTCTGCCGGATCCTTCGCGGTAAACAGCAGCGCCGATACTACTTCTCTAGCCTCACCGCGTAAACAGTTCCTTAACCTTGCCATATTTTCCGTATTTGTGAATCCATAGAGACGCGTGGACTCCCTCATCGCGGCTTTAAACGATAACCATTCCGCGGCCGAGTCGTTGAAAATAGGCAACTTCTGTGTCTGCTTCGCGGCGGCTGGTCTAAGTCTTATCATGCCTTCTAAGGCTTCCGCTAATCG